GTGTACAGTAGTTACCTCCATGTGTGCAGTTCTCTTCAAAACGTCAAGGAGGACCCGAGTAAGTAAAGACAATTACACAGTTTACAAAGCAGTTAAGATACTAACCTTATAGATATCTCCATGATATGATCTTTTGGGGATAATAATCTTGAAATCCTCATGTTCTGCAAGTTCTTCCATTGTATTGAAGGGTATCTTTCCCTTAGCCACTGATATGGTTGCTAACAGATTACCCGTGTGATGCAAAACAGCCACCAGCTTGTATGGAATATATGGCCAGATATACTCTGTGGGACATGCTGGGACCCTATGAAGACAATGTTTCCACTTGTTAGATTTACTTCTCTCACCTTAAAATCATGCCATACTTTCGTATTTCTATGTATTAACTATTGTGATATGAAAGAATGGTTTAACGTCTATTTAAGGTAATAGGACAATTGCTCAGGAGTTGTTTGATCACATTTACAATATTCAAGGCCTCAGTAAAACTTTCAAATAGTTTTATTGTATACCGGTGGAGGATAGTTGATGTTGATGTTGATGCATCAGTGATAAACATCAGGTACGTTGCCATTCCTTATTTTGACTTGTACTGTGGCTGCATTTTTGTCTTGTTTTTTTCAGTTTGACAATGGACAAGCATCAGTGTCTATTTATGATGGGCACTACCAGTGGGATATGATACGCCCACCTTTTGGCTATTACTTGATACCATCACTATTCACATACACATGCTGATGATTTAGACAGTAGACGTTTCAAGGTTATATTTTAATTGTAAGAAAAGATCGTACTGCATGTCCATAAACTACACTTGATGATATAATGTTCAGGAGTTATTGATTGCACAATTTCATCGTAATCAAGTACTTGTGAACGCCATTCCAGACTACTTAGTATGTACGAAATCATTACTTATTTATATATACACTTCCCATTTAAATACAGACGTCAACAACATCCAGTGGTTGTCATTAGTTGACAGTTTCCTATGGACTACCTCGCACTCTCCTTGGTACAGTATGTAAGAAAATGCAAAGGTTTTGCTTCTCTTGAGGGAGATTACGTAAGGTATGCCAGAAAGATCGACCTCCTGAAAGACAACAAGGAAGAAAAGGCCCAATGTGTACTGTTCCAGTGGATTCTAAGCGTTTGGACACGAATGGACCCCAAAACATTCTTTCCTTACATGTCGTGCAACAATGCCAAGAGGACCGCTCCATGTTTCTGACAATTCTCCCCAAATCTTGTCAGGAGGTTCGATCATTTCTTACCTGAACTGAAATCAAAGAATATTGGTCGTAAACATATTAGGTATTTCATATGTTTGACGTGAGTTTGCATAATAGCCGAGCGGGACGGATCATTATGTTTATATATAATCCATCGGTGTATTTTCAGTAGCTCATTCCTAGTTGTCATGGTTGTATGGTAAAACTGGTATTAGCAGTAAAATTGGTAAATATATAACTGATAGAAATAGTGGGGATGGTTATTCATGAAATACGTAAAATTGAGATATTCACCAAGGCTGTTGAATAAATTCTTACATAATTGAGTGTACACAATGGGCCCATTTGATGGAGAAGTTGAATTCTTGCAAAATTATTTCCACTGCAAAAAAGTAGTTTCTATCAGGTGAATAATTATATCCGAATACTAAGTCCTTATATTCATGCTAAAACAATCTGCACGTGAACCACTGTTTACGATAGTAGTTTGGGTTACTTTTTTCTGATATAATAAATAATGTTATAAATTATTACCCACGTGGTAGTTCGAGAAGAGGTTTCATAACAAACTGTTATGTCATAACAGCTTCGAGTGATTTTATTGGCTAATACGTGAACCTTGACAATACCGGTACTACTTTCATCACTCATTCCATTCATGATTTTCATTCAGAAGTTTTCACATCTTCTGAGAGCATGTAAAACGAGAACACTTCTATGAAATTAAATAAAATGAATGCATAGGTTTTCAATCCTTTAGTAACTCGAGTTTCTGTACATAAAAACGAAAATAAAACAATTTAAATAGCAACAAATACGTCTACTGGGTCTATCGTGAATGTAAACCAATATGGCGTCGCCCGTAAAAGTTAATGATTTGGTCAAAATTGACGGATAACTGGTTGGAAGAGTTGTGAATATTATCAGACCATTGAATACCATATGTGGAATGTGAACCCAGGTCTTCTGCGACATGTGGTTTAGGCATGTCATTATTAAAAAATTATATTTGTCTATTTGTTTATTTAATGTTAAATTTCACTGACATGTTGTTCCAATCAATTAAGGGTGGGGTTGGGGGTTGGGTGGGGGTATGTATTGTACAGTGCCTTCCGGACTAATATTTGGAAATAAATGAACTTCATCACCTGTTAAACATGATGTCTCTCAATCCGGGCTCATCTTTAACCTTTGTTGATGATTCATCTATGAGTAAGTGAATCTTCCAGTGGTCCTTACAAATAAAGATCAGTATTTTTAGCTGAACAAAGCATCACGTACTCTTTGATCTGCGATTACATAACTTTGCGCCCATTATCAAAGGCAACTTCAACCATTGTACATGCTAACGTTACTTCTGTTGTCATCACGCATTTCCGTAGGCCAGCAGGTAGAGATATGCATGACATTATTGAGGAGTGAACAAGATACCATGGTGTGACTGTTATGTTCTTCTAATTGCATACCTTTGAAAAGAGTCTGCTTAATGGAGAACACTCTCCTGAACACTCAGGAGAACCGAATCAACATATACCGCAAAATGTTCAACTTCGTTGTCTTCTGTGTTACTGCTTGCCGAACATCTCAGATATCGTAAGTTCAACCATAGATATGTATTATGTTAGTTCACAAAGTAATTCAGTCATTTTATGATATATGGTCCATTAGCTGATTATTTGTATAAACGATCAAACGTCAAACAATTAGGCTTCCAAAATCGACAACAGTTTTGGACATTGCAGTTTATCAAGATTCACATTCACAAACCATTCCAAAAGCACTGATACATCTAATCGTAGTATCCAGCTAGGGTCCATGCAGGTAGCAAAGGTACTGTAAGTCCCCATGGTCCCTGGTATGGTGATCTACCTTCAGTTGTTGGTGATCTATAGCCCGTTTTTATTTTGTACTGTCTATAGTGATTTCATTTTACGTTAGCGTACTAGTTTTACATTTATATAGCTGTGATGTTCTAGTATTTTTACTGTCCTTCGATGACAGGTATTTATGTTCTAACCTTATTGATTTTCATATTGATATAAACTAGATTTTTCTCGTCACGATATGGCTGAAATATTCCCGATGTGCCGCTAAATAATAGCTCACTCACTAACTCACTCTAATCGTAGTACACGCAGATCTGTTTTCATATACATGCATTTGTGACCACACACACAAACACATGTACTTCCAATATATATATATATATATATATATATATATATATATACAGATACAGTACAGTATATATATATATATAGTATATATATAGTGATGTAAAGTGATTTCTGCAGGTGTATATGCATTAAATATATAAAATATGAGTCCAGATATTTCTTCTTGCATAAAACGTCTTTATATCTTTCGCCGTTCAACGGCTCTTCAGGTGTACAATGAAAGCTGAGTGTCGTCATAACCGACACATAACGGTGATTCCTTAGCACACGCTTATACGTGTAATCGTGCGGTAACGTAAGGGAAACATGTAACTCTATGGTTGGAGGCTGTGTAGACAGGCAGGTTTGGTTCCTATGGAAGGCACATTTCGGTCAGTGCTGGTCAAGAGCTTGTAATGATTATGGCAAATTGACCAGATAAGGACATGATGGTAATGGTCGCCACTAATGACTGACTAATTGAACAGATAAAGATTTAACTATTTGGCAAACTTGATTTATGATTTGGCAAACTGTCCAGATAAATGCTGACTGGTCGCCGCGTGTACCTGAGCGGTACAGAGAAATGCTGCCTGGTCGCCACGTGTTCCTGGGGAGAAGTCCGTATATAAGCAACACCGTCAATGAAGTCTACAGAGAGGCACTTTAGGCACAGAAGGGCCTGGGCGAGGACCAACGGACAAGACCAACATTCGAGGCCAGCCAATGAGAAGAGAAGTCCAAAGAACAACCCTGGTTATACCTGGTCAGCGTCGGGGGAAGTGTCTAGCCTCTCTCACAGTCTCTGCCACAATCTGATTGTTGCCACTGCTGACTGTTATAAGTTATACTGTCGTAATTAAAAGAACACTGTTGAAACCTTTCATCCTTCGTTGTGATGATCTTGCTACAAACGTTGATTAAATTCCATTTGCCCAATGTATATTCTCATCTTCATCTGGCTTAGAGTTGTGACGCTGTAGACGTTCGATAACAGTCTACATGAGAAAATCAATAAAAGTTATGAAAGCAAATCAATGTGATAATGTTACTTTGGAGACTAATGAAGGTCCATTTTAGAAATTTGAACAGAAAACAACGATTATGCGATACTCAAGATATCAGTCATACCCTCGGTGTCAATCAACAGAATCGCTCGTTGTAGGTTCATGGTATAAACCCATGCTAGAAAGGGTGTCTACGTATATAATGAATCAGACACAGACATAAACTACAAGCCCACTTTCTGTAAATAATCAAATCTGGTCCAAAAACCTTCCAGTCATCAACATCATGAGCATTGATCTGATCTATGAGCATGAGAATTGAATACATATGTCAACGAATTCACCGAACCTGACCACCTGGTCCCGTTAATCGCCTCTTACAACAAGCATGGCTTGCTGAAGACCAATTCTCAATAAGATCTTCACGGACACGGCAAGAAGTTAATGAAAATACTCCCTGCAACTCTACCTCCTTTCACAAATTGAAGCCTATTTGAAATGAAACACCCTTCTTTCCTAACATGCTTCAAAATACATAAAGATTAGCGGAGATAATGGGTAATAAAGCATTGTTTTGTTGAAAGCACAGATAAAAGCAATAGAACTGTAAAACTATATTTATTGGTGAGACCTACAGCAAGCAGACATTGCAATATAAGCTACATGCTTTATGAAATATGCAATCTTAAAATCAGTTTCCCAGTTTTCATGAGATCGGAATGTAGATAGAAAACACGATGCGATTAATACGTTTAGTAAATGAGTGAATGAGTATGGTTTTACGCCGTTTTTAGCAATATTCCAGCAATATGACGGCGGGGAACACCGGAAACGGGCTTCACACATTGTACCCATGTGGGGAATCGAACCTTGGTCTTCGGCGTGACGAGCGAACACTTTAATCACTAGGCTACCCCACCGCTCAGATTGATACATTTAGGGAATCAAACACATACAGAGAGTATTGACACTCTTAATACTGACTGACTGGAGAGTATATGCCACAGTGTTATATGTCACAGCAACGGCACCTACAATAGGAGAACCATGGCCACTATAGTAGATGGTGCCTCTATACAGTCCCAGGTTCCAGGGGACGGTGTTCAGTGTGGTCACCTCTGTACTCACATTATTGGACACAGTCATCTTCATCAGTTTCTTCTGTACACCATAATACAACACACCTGCTGTCTGATCCAGGGTTACAGCATGCACATTGCCTCCTGTTGTTAATGTTGTCAGACCTTGACCATCATATGTCACAGTGAACAGTTTCGCGCCATTACACCCATATATACGCCTTCTCTTTGTGTCAAGAGTTATTTGCCTTGGGTAACTACCGTAATTGGATAAGTCAATGACGGTAGTGAAGTCTTTCCCCTGTGTAGACATGCGGCTGATTGAGGTTCGTGGTACAGCGACGGATATAAATATGATATCCCGATCTTCATCCACTGCCATGCAATATGTCTTTACATGTTCTCTTAATACCGACACTTGACGTGTATCCAGGGTAGATGACACTATCTCTTTTGGGTTGTATGATCCTATCAGAAGTTTCCTTGTCTTTGTTGTATATGCAATACATCTGACATTCATGGTGTGATAAGGATAAACACCAAGGGAGTTACTGTGAATATTGAGTTGACGGAACTTATGTGGGGTACTTAACCACATTGGAGCTATCAAAATCCTACTTCTCTTCTCCTCTGGTCTGAGTGTCGTTGTTGACACAGATGTCCTGGAGGTTGATGTAACATTTAGAGGAGCTGAGGTAGAAGGAGACACAGTGACATTCGTTATCAGCTTTGATACTTGTGACTGACACGTCTCCTTCAATACAGTGATTTGCCTGATGTCAGCTTTCAGATTGGCAATGGTAACATCTGCCTTCTGTAGGTCTATTTGCAGTTGATTCATCTCTCTGACACAAGTACCACCGGAGTTCTCTTGATGCAACACATTTGCTTTCTTGAGAAGAGATTCGTGAAATATGGTGGTCTCGTTCTGGAAGTCTCTGAAGGATCTTGAAACACGATGCAGCCGCCTCTCCATCTTGTTGTAGCCCTGTTTCAGATGCCGCACTTCAGAGACAACCTGACTTTTCACCATGTCTTGAAGAGAATCGCCTTGTAAAATCTCCGCCATGGCTTTAATAATTTCATCCCGTATGTATTCCTTTAACTCAGCTCTCAGAGATGTCTTAGCGACATCAATATCATTTACTATCCTTTTCTCCATGCGGATCATATCATCCTTGTTAGCAAGCATTTCCTCCTGAAACTTGTCCAGTCTTTGTATGATAGACCCAATACTGTCCTGGCTTCTACAAAAACAGATCAGGGAGGTACATGTCAGCAACCAGGAGAGGCACTTCAGCATGGCCATCTTTACAAATGTACAGAATCCTTTAAATATCCTTGTCTGTTGATGTGATGTGTACCCAGCAGTGTGGTTCGGCGTTTTATTCTCTGAATTGTCTGACGTGAGGTTTAAATACACATTTGCTGTCTCATGACTATGTATTCAGTGTTGCAGGTCATCTGTGGTTACTTTCTCATATGCGAGAACACTCACGTGTCTTGATTTACCTGATGTAGCATACAGCTCTACCATTAGTGATTTAAGTGTGTCGCAGTATATAGTCCAATATTGTCGAGTGCATGTACTGTGATCTGACGCAGCATTTAGCTGTTTTGCTATCTCTATCACCCGTGAAGATCCGGGTTAGAAATAGGTCTTCAGCAGCCAATACTTGTCATAAGAGGCGACTAACGGGATCGGATGGTCAGTCTCACTGACTTGGTCGAAATATGCCATCGTACCCCAACTGCATAGATCGATGCGCATGATGTTGATCACTGGATTGTCTGGTCCAGACACACACCACATACATAGACTATTGCTAAGTGCAGCGTAAAACTAATCTCACTCACTCACTGCGGCTTCTTACTCTTATTAGGGTTGACTATTAATATGGTTGATAATCGTTTATACTCGCGTTATGTCCTTCAGAGGTGACCCTTAATGGTTGTTTTCTCCTACGTGAGGATAATACTTGTGCAATGCAACGTGACATGCTCAATCACTAATGGTAGAGTTGTATTCAACATGTTATGTACATATATACACGTGAGTGTTCTGACATATCAGGTGGTAATCAAACGACCTTCATCCCTGACTACGTTGTGATAACACAGTAGATATAAACCTGTACCTCACGTCAACCTGTCACTCGCAAGATATGTAGAACCATACAGAGGGATTCATGTATAAATTACTCTAACGGACAAAGACCTTTCACAGGTTTTTGTACAGTTCACAAGATGGCCGAGTTCAAATGCATGTCATGGTTGCTGACGTCTATCTCCCTTGTCTGTTTCTGTAGTTGCCAGGACAATATGGTCTCTGTCCTAAACAAACTGGGACAGTTCGAGAAGGATCTGCTTGATAATAAGTTGGGTGTGCTCCTTATGGAGAACAGAATACTTAACACCATAGATGTTGCCAGGGCCTCCTTGAGAGCTGAGTTAAAGAAAAACATACGGGATGAAGTGAGAGAAGCCATGGTCGAGATTCTGCAAGAAGAGTCTTTTCACGGCATGGTGAAAAGTCAGGTTGACTCTGAATTGCGGCATCTGAGGCAGGGCTATCATCAGATGAAGAGGCAGTTGCACCATGTCTCAAGATCACTCAGTGACTTCCAGAACGAGACGACCGTATTTCAGGAATCTCTCCTGAAGAAGGCAGATGTTTGGAATCGAGACAATTCACGTGATTTCAAAAATAAAAATAGATTGGAAAAGGACTTACAGAAGTGTACTGTTTATGCCGCTGGTCTCAAGACTCGGAATGAGCAGTTGGAAGATTTAAATGAGACGTGTCAGATCCAATTATCACGACTGAAAATAGCCTTTGCTGTGACCGCTTCTTCCCAAACAACTCAACATCTTACGTCTACAGTCACGCCACCTGTTTCGACAACGCCAGTGATGACACCCAGACCAGAGGTGGAGAAAAGTAGGATCCTGATTGCTCCAGGTTGGTCATCTACCCCACATCAGTTCCGTCAACTCAACATTCACAGTAACTCCCTGAGTGTCTATCCTTATCACACCATGAAGCAGGTGACTTCCCTTGCCTACATAGCAAAGACAAATAAACTTCTGATAGGGTGAGGCAACCCTGATAAGATAATGTTATCTACCCTGGATACACGTCACGTGGCGGTATTAAGAGAACGTGGCAGTGGCAGTGGCAGTTATGGCATGGCAGTGGATGAAGATCGGGACATCGTATTCATAGGGACAGCTAAACCACGATACTCAATCAGCCGCATGTCGACACGGGGCAAAGCCTTTACTGCCATCATCGACTTATCCATGTACTCATGGCATCCAAGGCAGATGACCCTTTACACAAAGAGGAAGATGACATATTGGTGTAATTACGTGACACTGTACACTGTGACATATGACGGTCCCGGTCTGACAGCATTAGCCACAGGAAGGCAACTGTTTGCTATAACCCTGGATCAGATAGAAGGTGTGTTGTATTATAATATGCAGAAGAAACTGATGAAGATGGCTGTGTCCAATAATGTGAGTACAGACGTGACCACACTGAACACCGTCCCCTGGAACATGAGACTGTATAGAGGCACCATCTACTACAGTAGCTATGATTCTTCTATTGTTGGTGCTGTTGATGTGACAACTAACACTGTGGCATATACTCTCCAGTCAGTCAGTATGAAGGGGGCACTTACTTACTGTATGTGTTTGATTCCCTTAATGTATCAATCGGATATTTTCCTCTTTTTCCGATATCATCAAACCCGAGAAACTTATTTTACGGTTACATATTTGATATAAAGCTGTAGGTTTTATCAATAAATATATTTTTACACTTCTACTGCTTCTGTCTGTGCTTCCAACTTACACAAAACAATCCTTACCTAATCTTTTTGAAGCAGTGAAGGAAAATAGAATGTTTCGTTTCTTAGAGGCTTTATTTGAGAATGGAGATAGTTGCCGTACACGTGTTTTCAATATTGCCTTCAACAATTAGTTATCATCTGATTGAATATCAAACGTGTGGTCAATAGGAGCCTTGATCCTCTATCAGTGAGCTAAATTCTAAACCGTCAACACATAGAAAACCATGTCTTTGTATTTGTAAGAGTGTGTTCGCATGCGCGCGTGTGTATATATGCGCAAACATGTTTGTGTATGCGTGATTGCATTCTTATCCGCATATACTTATGCATGCATTGGCAATATTCACCTGTGTCATATTGAAAGTATTGTATATGCAGATCCTTCAGCAGTCTGTTGTTTGTAATGTTTTTTTCACAGCAATACTCACTTGGTTGATTGAGACATGGCATGGAGTATTTGCATTTACTTCTCGCTGAACATTGGTTAGAATTGGTCATCAGCTACCTATGCTTGCCGTAAGAGACGACTAATTGCATCGGGTGGTCAGGCAAGCTGACTTGGTTCATTCATGCCATCATATCCCAGTTGCGAAGACCCATGCACATGGTGTTGATCACTGAATTATCTGGTCCAGACTTTATCATTTCCAGACCGCCGCCATATGTCTGAAATATTGCTGATTGCGGCGTAAAACAACAAGCAAACAAACAAGCCACAGTGACCTGTGAATAATCGATTCCGGACCAGAGAAACTGCTCATATCACGACAAACGATAAATGCCTCCGTCGGGTTTCCATGCCAAGCATTCAACCGTGTCACCAAGCCTTCCCATGGGATCCACAGTCATTTCTCGAAGTATATAGCTTTAGAATTGCAGTCTTCGCTCTATCGATTACTCTTCTCACGAACCTTACCCAAGGACTGTCTACCTGCATTAAGGCTACGTTTGAGGGCGCCACATTATAATAACTCTACGACAACGATGATAGGGCATTTACTTAGGGCCACATTTAAACCCACATTAGGACAGCTCTTCAATGTAGTAATCTTATCGGTTACCAAAGTACAGACGAAGTTGTTAAAGAAATATAGGAAATGAGATATCGCTTAAATAGGCGTAACCTGCAGATCATGAATTTCAAAGGGGCTTATTTTCATTTAACTATGTTGACAAAGTTGATGCATGTTTTGAAAGATGCATTTACAGTTACAAGTTGCAATCTCTGGAATACTTTGAGACAATGGCATATATATGTTGCTGTCTTTATGATTCTCCCTACATTTGACTTGGGCATCGATGTTTTATGGATTGTAAGCTATATGTGTAAAACCACGTGTTTTCCTTTTACTATGAAATGATGAAATGAGGGCATGAAAGCAGTAAAATCGCCTTTTTGCAAATAAAACACACTGCGGCCGTGCTGTCGCTCTGCTGCCTTAATTCAGATTATTTTATAAGAGTGAATTGATTTGTTGTGGTGGTAACACATCGGTTCAGTTTGGCGAGGCCTTAAGATCCTGAAGCAGAGATCCTGGGCCCCGATCATAAAACGCCCGTAACGCTGACATTCGTAAGCCAACGATAAACGATACAGTTACGAAATGTCGTAAGGTTACGAAGGCATGTGTGTATGTCTGTATTTTGTGTCTGTGTGTGTCTCCGAGTCTCTCTCTCTCTCTCTCTCTCTCTCTCTCTCTCTCTCTCTCTCTCTCTCTCTCTCTCTCTCTCTCTCTCTGAGAGTGTCAGATGGTACTAAAAGTACTAGAAATACATAGTTTACTAAGAAAGAGTCATCCCAAATGTTCTCACCAGATTGCGGAATACACTCACCAATTGCCAATAATGTACAGCCAAATGGGCCTCAGTAGTTGTCTGTTTTTAGTGTAGTACATGTTTCTCTTTCATACGTCTTCAAACTGACGTCGCACAACGACCAAGCGGGAAACATAAACTCTGCCAGCTGAAAGCCAAGACAGCGTTAGGTATATGACGTTATTAATGGCATCTATAAGGTGCTGCACGGCTGTCGGTGAGGTAATCTCGCGGTGATTGGAAACATAGCCTCTCGTCCACACATGCGGACACACACGCACGCACGCATGCTCGCGCAGAAGTAGGATGTAGACATACACACTAACGCAAGCACACATACAGACATACAAACAGACGCATCATGTTATACGTCAGTGTAACATTGTGTTAAACAATGACGTAATTGAGGAAGACCAAGTTCTATGGATAGACAACTTCTTTACTTCTTCGTTGAGTGACATTTTAGAAGTTGGGAAGGACAATATAGAACCAACTTTAAGGATAACAACTTCTTTTTATTCGTGAGTGCGACGTTTCAATACAGATTCTTGTACCGTTGTCAAGCATAATGGAACATGAAGAAGGGGAAGTATATATATACTGGATGTAACAATGTAACAAAGAAAACAACATAATTAACATAATTGGCTAGGCAGAAAGCTGATGAAGCCAGAGAGTAGACAAAGGACAGGCGTGGATCGGAAGCCAATGATGTACAAATAATAATGAGACGTTTATACAGCAGAGTTTATACAGTAGATTGGGCTTGGTGGATGAGTGCATCATAAGCGGATGGAATGAAGTATCCTTGGTCTCGGTTGATGGAGGGCTTTTGGCGTTTGATGTGGATGGCTTCGGTGAGCTTGCGTTTAGTGAAGTTTGTTCTATATTGAACTTCTTTATTGCAATGAGTGCGAGGTTTCGGTGTAGTTGAGTGAGTGAGTGAGTTAACATTTTAAGTCACATCGGCAATATTTCAGCCATATCGTGACTAAAACAAGTTATAAATATATCATCAATTTAAGCTAAAGTATAAAATTCTGCCAACGAAGGACAGTAAGACAACTAGAGTATCACAGATATAGATATAAAACTAGTAACTAAATCTAAAATATTTGAACTATACAAGACGATACAATATAAAAACAGGCTATTGATCGCCAACAACTGAAGGTAGATCACCATACTAGGAACCATGGGGACTTCCATTACTTTTGCTACCTGCATGGACCCTAGCTGGATTTACAACATCCCCTCAGCCGCTGGCGATGTAGGAACATTAAGCCGAAAGTTAAAATAACAGAAATGCTACGATTAAAAGTATGGTTGTGCGATATGGACTTTGAAAGTGTATGGGACTTACGTACCCTCAGGAGGACAATAATTTACGATACTTTAACCCCCTTTGAGGATACAGCCGCTCACAATCGCAGTTGCTAATTCATACTACCATATTTAAAATACCATTTATATATTTACAAAACTTATTATTCAAAATGTATGCAATAATTCTATTTCTTTTAAAAAACCAAGTATTAAGTGATAATTTACAGTATAAAAAAGATCCTTCAGTGTTTTGAAAGTGAAATATTTATCCCTTGTGATGGAAAAATCAATGCAGTCAAGCAGGACATGCTTGACCGTCGGTGTAGTTGAAACAAGGAGAATATATACATAGCTGCATAGTGAGTATATACAATTGACAAGGTTGCTGTACATTGGATATCTAATTAGTGAGTTGAGCAGAGTGGGCTGATATACAGAGTGATTGATTGAGACTACAGGTTGTGTTTATACAGTGGTGAGTTGATGTACAATGAGATGGTAATTAGTGAGTAGGTTAAAGTACACTAGTTGTGATTACAATGCACAAAGGGAAGCGTGGAAGCCAGATGGACAAGGGAGGTATGGGTGGATTACTGGCGGTCGTCTTTGATTAGGTGGTGATAGACCGAGGAGATGAAATAACCTTGATCACGATTCATGGTGGGGTTGAAGCGTTGGATTTTAATGGCTTCAAGGAGTTTCCTAATCTTGTAGTATGCTTGGTTGATTTCCAGGATATCGAAGTTGTTCCATAGGATGACATGGTTAGGGTTAGCTTGGGTGTAATCGGCTATGGCTGATTTAGAGTCTTATCTGGACTGAAGTTTTGTGTTCTTTAATTCGTAGTGGGAGCGGGTGTACGTTTCACCTTGTAATTGTATCACGTTGTTTCTCATAGATTCGGTAAAATCGATTCACTTGTACATGCAAATCGACGCAGTTTACGGTGGTTATATAGCCTAACTTAACATTGAAAACACAGAATGTTAATATCCTCCCAACCATGTTAATTAAAATATTGAAGGGACAGATATTTGTTCAGTACAGTGCTTTGAATGGGTTTCCCATCTGAATTAAAGACACAACACAAGCCTACAAATAAAATATGGAGGCGTGCATAATAAAGCGTTGTTTCACATCATTACACAATTTCTGGCATATATTTCAGGCGTTGAAGCTGGAAAGCTAGCGTGAAATCGGCACCTTAATATATAACGTAAATCAAAAAGTAAATATAACCATTTTGGACCTTTCTCAGAAAAAGATTCCATTTTAGTGAAAAGCAGAACAGGGGGAAAATTATACAAATGGATGACTGAAAATCGGTAATGTCTCCATTAGTTCGCGAGGATGGTAAGCGTATATTGTTACTCAACCTTTGCACGGGGTAACGTATAACTGTACAATGAGGGAACAGAAATTCCCTCTAAATATTCACGTCCATGATAGTGGGGTCGTCGTTTGAACTACTTCAGTCAGAGAGTGTTATTGTGATGTGATACCTGTGATTGAGTGAGTCGAGTGTTTCTCTAATTAATGGTAGCATATGGATTATAAAGTTCAAGGAATCAAACACATGAGTAAAGCACTCGCCCCCTCCATTCTGACTGACTGGAGAGGATACGCCATAGTGTTATTTGTCACATCAACTGCACCTACAATAGGAAAAGGAAAGCCACTGTAGTATATAGTGCCTCTATACAGTCCTACAGTCATAGGCATGGTTGTCAGTGAGGTCACCTCTGTACTCACATTATTGGACACAGTCATCTTCATCAGTTTCTTCTGTACACCATAATACAACACACCTGCTGTCTGATCCAGGGTTACAGCATACATTCGACTTCCTGTGGCTAATGTTGTCAGGCCTTGACCATCATATGTCACAGTGAACATCCTTTCTGTATCACATCCATATATCCTCTTTCTCATTTTGTCAAGAGTTATTTGCCTTGGATGTCTTGCGTACCTGGATAAGTCAATGATGGCAGTGAAGTTTTCCCCCTGTGTAGACATGCGGCTGATTGAGAGTCGTGGTTGAAAGGTGGACATGAATACGATGTCCCGATCTTCATCCACTGCCATGCCATATGTCTGTACACGTTCTCTTAATACCGTCACGTGACGTGTATCCAGGGCAGATGACACTATCTTATCTGGGTTGCGTGACGCTATGTGAAGTTTCCTTGTCTTGGATGCATATGCTATACATGTGACATACCTCACGGTGTGGTACGGATAGACGCTCAAGGAGTTACTGTGAATATTGAGTTGACGGAACTGATATGGGGTAGATGACCAACCTGGAGCAATCAGGATCCTACTTTTCTTCACCTCTGGCCTGGGTGTCATCACTGGCGTTGTCGAAACAGGTGGCGTGACTGTAGACGTAAGATGTTGAGTTGTTTGGGAAGAAGCAGTCACAGCAAATGCTGTTTTCAGTCGTGATAATTGGATCTGACACGTCTCATTTAAATCTTCCAATTGCTCGTTCCGAGTCCTGAGATCAGCAGTACACTTCTGTAGTTCTTTTTCCAGTCTAACATTATCTCTGACACTGGAGTTCTTCCATCCTTCTGCCTTCGTCAGGAGAAATTCGTGCAATACGTTCGTCTCGTCTTGGAAGTCTTTGAATGATCTTGACACATGATGCAACTTCCTCTTCATCTGATGGTAGCCCTGTTTCAGATGTCGCACTTCAGAGGATACCTGACCTCGCACCATGTCTTGAAGAGACTCCTTTTGCAGGTTCTCGACCATGGCTTTTCTCACTTCATCCCGTATGTTTTCCTTTAACTCGGCTCTTAAGGATGCCCTGACAACATCAATAGTGTTAAGTATTCTTTCCTCCATAGCGAGCATACTCATCCTATTCTCATGCAGATCCTTCTCAAACTGTTCCAGTTTGTATAGAACAGACACCATCATTGCCTGGCCACTACAAAAACAGATTAGGGATATAGACGTCAGCAAACATGGCATGCATTTAAAGTCGGCCATCTTCTGAACTGTAAAAATCCTGTTAGAATGATGTTCTCCGCCAGAATGATATATACATGAAGCCCTTGGGAATGGGTCAATGTTTTCCTCCGAGTGACAGATCGTTGTGAGGTACAGGTTTATATCTACTGTGTTATCACAACGTAATCAGGGTTAAAGGACGGTTGGTTACCAAGTGATATGCCAGAGCACTCACGTATCTCTATATACACAATTTGTAGAAGACAGCTCTATCACTAGTGAGTCAAGCATGTCACGTTGCACTGCATAAGTAATGTACCCACGTAGTTGAAACAACTTCCGAAAATGAAACAACTTTGTATTTTCAATCTTTGGACACGGGTTAGAGTAACCCACCCTTGGTCCACAGTGAAAATAAATGTTGTGTTCAAACCGACTATGGGGACAATAACGTTCAAGTCGTTTCTTAATGACTTATATATATCCCCAGGAGAGCATTTTGTCAAGTATAGTTGCATTCTTCCATCTTCTATTCAGTGGTTTAGACGATGACGATGCTTGTTGTACTGTCAGTACTTAAAATGATAAAATAGGGCTGGTCGACTCGGACGTGCATTCCTGCGGGTACCACACGTACACACATGAACAGAGACACACTAACGGACACATGCACACACACACGCACACTCTGATACACATAAACACAAGCACATGTGCACACAAAAACACACTCACACACACTCTCATACACATAAACACATACCCACACGGACACACAAAGACACACATGCAGGTAAAAGCGTACACGTACACATACACGTATATTTCACGTGATATAAGTGCACACATCTTGACTGCTACCTTCAACCCCAATAGATGTCACCCTAACTTTTAACCTACTACAATCTTGAGATACTGTCAACAGCGTGTTTACGAGGGGCCTTGGTGATAAACAAACCTTGACTTGAGGAATACAAAGACCAGCGTAACTGGGTCACGTTACACATGGAGACTCTGATATCATGGGTATTTTATACATCATGGCCGAACTGTTCCCAGGCTCATCAGATGGCGCTCATACCTCACTACCTCAACACTCATTAGTGAGGTTTTTTGGTTTGTATCCTGACTTTCTCCCAACTATGACCCCACCTAGGTAACGGTTGTCTGTTAATTATAGAGTCTGGACAACGCAACTTGGTGATTGAGCATCCATCCACGCACTTGGGACACGAGGGAACACATCAACCCACTCAGCGAGCATAATCCCCAGATGCGTTTAGTTGCGTCTTTTCAAACAACTTGGGTTCGTTAGAGAAGGACGTGTAAAATTAGGTTGCTGTGGATGAGCACGGCGCACAATATCGACCTACCTCATTGTGGTGTAGGTTGTGATAACATGACATGCATGCTGCTGAATTCTAGTGAGGTTGTGGTGATATGTTATATGCTGGTAGAATATAGAATGCTACAGAACACCCGTGAGGTTGTTGGGTATGACATCCATGTTGCTGAAGTCTAGTGAGCTTGTGCTGACATGATATATGCTGGTAGAATATAGAATGCTACAGAACACTCGTGAGGTTGTTGGGTATGACATACATGTTGCTGAAGTCTAGTGAGGTTGTGGTGATATGACATGTGCTGGTAGAATATAGATGTTACTGAACATTCATGAGCTGGGACATGCATGTTGCTGGAATGTAGTGGGGTTGTGGTGATCTGATATATGCTGGTAGAATATAGATGTTACTGAACACTCACGAGGTTGTTGGGTATGACATACATGTTGCTGAAGTCTAGTAAGGTTGTGGTGATATGATATATGCTGGTAGAATATAGATGTTACTGAACACTCGTGAGGTTGTTGGGTGTGAAATGCATTTTATTGAAGTCTAGTGGGGTTGTTGCAGGAGGTTTGCATGTTACCGAAGGCTAATAAGGCTCTTGGGAGTAGATTGCATGTTGTTGGCATGCAGGCTTCTGACGCCTAGTGGGGTGTTTGGGGCGGAATGCATGTTATTGAAGCCCTGTGGGGTTGTTGTGTGTCAAGTGCATGTTGCCAAAATCTAGTGAGGTTGTTGCGGGCTACTGAAGGCTACCGAGGGTCTCATTGATGGAATGCATGTTGCTGACATGCTGGTAACTGAAGGCTAACGAGGGTCTCATGGGTGGAATGCATGTAACTGATGTGCTGGTAACTGAATACTAACGAGGGTCTCAAGGGCTAACGGGGATGCAATGGAATGCATGTAGCTGACGCGCTTGTAACTGAAGGCTAGCGAGGGTCTCAAGGATGGAATGCATGTTGCTGACGTGCTGGTAACTGAAGGCTAGCGTGGGTCTCAAGGATGGAATGCATGTTGCTGACGTGCTGGTAACTGAAGGCTAACGAGGGTCTCAAGAGTGGAATGCATGTTGCTGACGTGCTTGTAACTGAGGGCTAACGAGGGTCTCATGGGTGCAATGCATGTTGCTGATGTGCTGGTAACTGAAGGCTAACGAGGGTCTCATGGGTGGAATGCATGTTGCTGACGTGCTGGTAACTGAAGGCTAACGAGGGTCTCATGGGTGCAATGCATGTTGCTGACGTGCTGGTAACTGAAGGCTAACGAGGGTCTCAAGGATGGAATGCATGTTGCTGACGTGCTTGTAACTGAAGTTTAGCTAGGTTGTTGGGTATCACGTGCATGTTAGTGAAGTTTGGTGAAGCTGTTTGCTGTCACGCGCAAGTTACGTAAGTCTATTGAGCTTGTTAGGTATGGTATGCATGTTCTTGAACTATATCGAGGTTGTTGGGTGTGGGAAGCACGTTGTTGAAGTCTAGTGAGGTTGTTGGGTGAGGTACTTTCCCGAGGACACATAAATGAGTCACCAGTTGCTAAGGAGGAGAAGAAAGAAAACGGGAAGGAGACATATTTTCCAGCTCAGTGCCGGCAGCAGAAATGAATGGTTTAATTCTCAAACCAAGAGGCGGAACAACAGAAGGCTTTTTGTTGTACAGATCCTCATAAAGAGGATTAAAAACACAGTTAAATGCAGGATTTGACTCATTGGAATATAGTTTTGTTACATTCTGCAAGGATAATTTTATACGGCGGTGTGTAAGAGATGGCTCATCGGCCTCGACGTAGAGAGTGTCAACATGAGAAGTTCTAAAGGACCCAAAACAAAGTCTTAGACCTTGGTGGTGGACAGAATCTAATAGTTTGAGGTTGCTTTTGCAGGCTCCACCATTAATGATGGAACCATAATCAAGTTCGGAACGTACCAGTGATCGATATAGATGTAGGAAGGTAACTTGATCCCCTCCCCACTTGGAATTGGAAACAACTTTCAACAAGTCAAGTGCCTTCAGGCATTTAGTTTTAAGGGATTTAATATGTGGTAGAAACGTTAAGTGCGAGTCAAAAATAATACCCAAGAACTTGGCCTCCTTCACAACTTTGATGGGTGTGCCATTTAGAGATAGTTCAGGGTCTTTATGCGGTTTGTATGTACGGCAGAAATGTATACAATTACTTTTGGATTTAGAAAATTTAAAGCCGTTTTCAAGACGCCATTTATTTATCGTGTTTAAACACAACTGCAGTTGCCGTTCAATAGTATGCATATTTTTACCACGACAAGAAATATTAAAATCATCCACAAAAAGTGATCCATCAATTGAATCATTGAAAACCTTGGATAAACTGTTGATCTTGATACTAAATAAAGTCACAGACAAAATACTGCCTTGTGGGACACCCTGATCCTAATTGTAATGATCAGACAGGGTAGAGCCCACACAGACTTGAAATTGGCTGTCATTTAAAATGTTAGCTATAAATTGAGGCAAACGGCCTCTCAATCCGAAGCCATGTAAATCTCTTAAAAAGCCATATTTTCTCGTAGTGTCAAATGCCTTTTCAAAATCAAAAAAGATAGACAAAGCGTGTTGTTTATTAATGAGAGCGTTTTTAACAAATGATTCCAAACGCACTAGGTGATCGACAGTACTTCTGTTCTCACGGAAACCACATTGTATATCTGTTATAATGTTATTAGTTTCGAAGTACCAAACAAGTCGATTATTTATTATGCGTTCCATGGTTTTGCAAACACAGCTAGTGAAATAGGTCTATAATTGGAAGGATCAGTATGATCACGTCCAGGTTTATGGATGGGCTCAATTATAACATCACGCCACGACGAAAGAAATTGTTCAGATGTCCAAATGTCATCAAAAATACGTAAGAGCGTCTCTAAACATGATTCAGGTAAGTGCTTCAGGAGTTCATAATGTATGTTATCAGCTCCTGAAGCAGTATCATGAGCCTGGTCAAGAGCAGTATCAAGCTCATGTATTGAAAAGGTTTCATTGTAGTCTTTCCCATTATCTGAATTAAAATTAATAGCTTTCATTTCTTGCTGTTTTTGGTATTTTTGGAATTTAGGTTCATAATTTGACGTGGAAGAATATTTTGCAAATGTTTCGGCAAGTTTATTAGCAATATCGGTTTTATTAGGTAATAACTGGTTTCCATCTTTAAGATGATGAATGCTAGATGTTGAACATGTGCAAATACAATTGCATTTACGATAGAATCGTCATCCGTTAAGATCCGGGTTAGGATTGGTCTACATCAACCCTTTCTAGTCGTAAGAGGCAACGAAGGGGATCGGGTGGTCAGGCTCCCTTATTTAGTTGATACACATGTCATCGTATTCCAGTTGAAAATAATTGTAGATCGATGTTCATGATGTCGATCCCTTTATTCTCTGGTCTTCACCGACCCTTTTCTTTGTCGTAAGAGGACACTAACGGAATCGGATGGTCTGGATCGTTACTTAATCGATGTTCATGATGTCGATCACTGGAATCTCTGGTCCAGACTCGATTATTAGAAACAGCCGCCATGTAGCTGTAATATTGGTGACTGCAGCGGTAAACAACAAAACAACTGCAGAACCATGCGAGTGAATTGTAAAACAAAACAGGACATCACACAAATGTCACTGTCGTACAAAAGGCTCACTGGAAACATTGCAAAGCATGTGCACACATAACCATCGACTGATTGTGTCACTTCGATCACTCTATCGATTCTTTCGACATTGGAAAAGCAAGAAAGTTATGTAATGTTTCAGCCAGACATGACGAGTAATAATTATGTAAAATCAAACATCAAAACCATTTCGCTTGGTCATACCTAA